CATCCCACCCACTCCAGCCATCCCCGGCCATTCCACCCACTCGGCCATCCCACCCACTCTGGCCAGCCCCGGCCAGCCCCGGGCCGTACTTTACCTTCCTAACGTGAATTAGCAGCCACTGCTGGACGCTGGGCGGCACGCGACTTTCCCACGCACTCCCCCCGGGGAACTTGCCCTGGGGCGCAGCCTCTCCCAGCCCCGCGGCTTATACTTGCAGGCAGGAGGGCTTGTGATGAGGTGCTCAGCGCTGTGTGTGGGAGTGGGAGGGCGGGTGGAGGCAGGGACTGGAGACTCCATGCGGATGAGAAGCTGCTGGACCCAAGTTTGGAATCTTAACGCCAAACACAATCCCAGCAGAGCTGCTCAGCCATCCCGTCCTTTCGGTACTCGGCCGGGCGCTCCTGCCACCCAGGGCAGTCTCCCTGCCTTCTTGGTCCCCACACGGCTGCCCCCTCAACGGGCACCCCGCACCCAGGTGCTGCTTCTCTGGTGACTCCAGCAGCGCTCCACCGTCCCTACACGGTGTTCTCCGGGCACTCAGTACAAGCCATGTTGCTTCATGCTTTACCCCTACTCCACCCTTTCCTATCTGGGTGACCTTGGGCAAGAGATTGAACTTGTCCTGGCCTCAGTTGCGTAGGGCATCTGATGGGGATGATGCTCACAGCCCCCACAGCGGTAGCAGAGAGCAAGCCGGAGGTACCAGGTGTGTGTGGGGACACTGGGAAGGGCATTCCCCGCAAAGCCACAGCCTCCTCGCCAGGAGGGCCCTTTCGCTTCGCGTCGCTATCACTGCTTTGGCACCGCAGACTCTGGGGAGACTCAATACTTCCTGGAAGAATGAATGAACGGAATCCTCAAAACAGCCCTCTGGGCAGAAGGGCAGCGCCCAGGACAGCCGAGAGAAGGGGCTGGGGTCTTCTAGGATGCCGGCTTTTCCCCTCCCCTCTGCCCTGGGGCTGGCTCCTCTGAGAAATGCCGGTAACAGTACTTACCCCACAGCTCACCAGGATTCAAGGGGTCAATTCAGGTACAGCACTTAGAACATGGGCATGTGGCAGGTGTTCGGTAAACTTGGGTAGAATGGTTAACAAACAAAACCCACCAACACTGATTGAAACCCTATGCGGGAGCAGGCTCAGTGGCATACAGTGGTCTAGAAGACACGACAGATGCTAACAAATCATCAGAGAACAACCACTGTTGTGATAAACCGTGTGAGAGAAAAAAGTCATTTATTGCTTGTTGGCTAAAGCCAAGCAGTAAACAACATCTAGATGTTTGATGTTTCAAATACAAACATTTGCTATCGAGTAGAAATGCGAACTTCTCAAACAGGAAACAAAATCTCCTTTCCCTCTTTTTCTCTTTTAAGATTTATTTATTTATTTGAGAGAGAGAAAGAGAACAGGGGGGAGGGAGAGAGAAATCCAAGCAGACTCCAGGCTGAGAGGGAGCCCAACACGGGGCTCGATCCTATGACCCCGAGATCATGACCTGAGTGGAAACCAAGAGTTGGCCACCCAGGCGGCCCTCCTTTCCCTTTCCAATGTAAACCACTATCCATTGCTGGCCCGGGGGCTGCCTCAGGCTTCAGTCCTCCCCCCGGGAGCTGCTCCCGGGGCTGCAGCGAGTCTTCGGGGAGCTGCCCAGGCTCCGGCAGCAGGCCCTTGGTGCAGGAGCCGCGTGGTAAGGAGGGGCAAGGACAGTGGGGAGGTTGCCAGGGCAGGGACGAGAAGCAGTGGGACAGGCCTCACCTTCCTGGGGTGCATTCTGAGCAGCATAGGTAGAATGGGCCCGACCTGGGCTGGGAGCAGTCAGGGATGGTCCCACTGCGGGGGCAGAGGCCTGAGTCAGGAAGGCACAACAGGGGCGGTCGAGTCAAGAAGAGAAAAGTGGCCTGCAAGGTGGAGTCAGTGATGAAAGGGGAGACCAGCAGGGTGGACTCCCAACAGCTAGGATGTTGGGCTGGCGGGGGTGGAGGGGGAGACGGTTGCAGGCCAGGCAGGAAGGCGTCCAGTCAGCCTTTGGAACGCTGAAGGCCATGACGGCGAAGGCCAGGCCGTGCAGGAAGAGACTGACTCGGGCGCTGCCACCCCTCCACAGCAAGCAGCCCCGAGATATCCCCTGGAAGTCTGTCGGGAACCCCTTTGTGGTGGAGTCCACAGGCGTGTACCTGTCCTTACAGGAGGCTTCAGTAAGTGGGGGGACAGATGCCCAGGGCTGCGCAGGGAGAGGGGGTGTGGAGGTGGCCCTCGAAGGGCCCCCCGACACCTGTGCTCCTCCTCTAGGACCACATCGAGGCTGGTGCCACGCGTGTGGTCATCTCTGCACCCTCACCCGATGCGCCCATATTTGTCATGGGAGTAAACGAGAAGAACTATAATCCTGGCTCCATGAAAGTTGTCAGGTAACGGGCAGCAACATTCTGAAGTGTGTGGGTGGCACCCAGAGGAAATGCCAGCCTCCCTCTCTCCACCCCCACTCCCAGGAGACCCCTGGTGCTGCTTCACACCTCCCTTCCCAAAGCCCTAACGCCCTCATGTTAACAGAACAGTAGGACTCCTGGAGAACACGCTTGGGGAGCTTCCCCAGCCATACCTCTGGGGCACCCCCAGTGATCCCACTCATCCCCAACCTGACTTCCACAAAACCAGGCCTGTGTGCATCACCCGAGAGGGAGGGGAGGGTGCAGGGCTGGCTCTGCGACTCACCTCACGGGGCCCTTGCACACCCGCGCCGTTTCAGCAATGCCTCCTGCACCACCAACTGCCTGGCGCCCCTTGCCAAGGTCATCCATGAGCAGTTTGGGATCGTGGAAGGGCTGATGGTGAGTTGGAGAGAGCGGCTGAGGCAGGAGGGGTGGCAGGGAAACTCTACCTCTCCTTCCTAGACTTGCTTAGTGTGTGGGGTGAACAAGGAGAGACGGTTTCGGGAGGAAGAGCCAAGTGGTGAAGTCTCTTAAAACACCGGGCAACTTGCAGACAGGGCTGGACCCTGGCCTGCACATGGCCCTCCTGTGGTCTGTGGTGGTCCCACCAGCCTCCACACCTGGGTCACCACCTCAGGCCTGGGAAAACAAGGCAGGGGAGCTTCGGAGGAGGAAGGGCTCACCTCAGCCTTCTTCTTCCCCAAGACCACAGTTCATTCCTACACTGCCACCCAGAAGACAGTGGACGGGCCATCGAAGAAGGCCTGGCGAGACGGGCGGGGTGCCCACCAGAACATCATCCCAGCCTCCACGGGGGCTGCCAAAGCCGTTGGCAAAGTCATTCCAGACCTCAAAGGGTATGAGGGCAGAAAGCTGCCACCAGGGTCAGGGGTACACCCCAGGAGGACTGGACTGGCCCCCAATCCCTGAAGTGTCTATTGAGGGGAAAGTAGAGACAACGTGGGATGGATGGAAAGGTCCTGGGTTCTGACTCCCACCCCTAATTGGGATTCTCCAGGAAGCTGACAGGAATGGCATTCCGGGTGCCAACCCCAGACGTATCTGTCGTGGACCTGACCTGCCGCCTGGCCCAGCCTACCGCGTACGAGGCCATCAAAGACGCCATAAAAGCAGCAGCCCAAGGGCCCATGGCTGGCATCCTTGCCTACACAGAGGATGAGGTAGGGACTGAGGAGGGGGACCATGGGAGGAGCCCTCTGGGGAGGAAACATGATTTTCCACTTACCAAAGAGCCGCTCACCATGTATCAAGACAGGGACTGCAGGGCTGGGAAGGTCTGCTCTTCCTGCCTCAGGGTCTTTGCACTTGCTGTTGCTCTGGTCTGGGTAGCTTTTCTTCCAGGTGGCCACATAATCTGCCCTCACCTCCTCCAAGTCTCTACTTCAGTTTCTGTCCTCAGTAAGATACTCTCTTTCTGGCCCTTTCCCTTACCTGAAATTTCATTCCATAGTCCCTGTTGGCCCTGCTAGCATGTACACCACAAGAAAGCAGGGGCTTTGGGACTCAGTGGCTCCAGCCATTGATTGTCCCGGGGCCTGGCACCCCAGCAGGTGCTCAATACAAGCTTAGTGAACAAGACAATGGCTCCCCCACCAAGCCTTTGCTCCCAGTCGTGCCATCCTCTGGTGCTGTCTCTGCTTTAGCTCCTGCAGCTCCGCTCTCACACAGCCACCAGGACCTCTTGTTTTACGGAAAGCAGATCACATTGTCCCACTCCTGAAAACCCTCCCCTGTGGCCTCATACACCACTAAGGCCAATCCCTCAGGGCCTCTATGCTGTAGCTCCTTCCACGTCAGGCACTGCGGAGGGCCCGAGGTGACCAGATCCTCCTAGACATCCAGACCCAGCCTCACCGTGTGCCCTCCGAGAGGGCCTCTCTGCGGCCCACCATCATGATGAAGGCCGGCGTCATTGCCAGCATGTACTGGTGCAGCGTCAGGGTGTCTGCGGTCTCCGTCCTTTGGCCGCAGGCGAAGCCCCCGCGTGCCTTCCTCACACGGTCCCCAGAACCTGGACACAAGCAGGGCTCCACCAGATATCGTAGATGAAGGGATGTGCCCATGTACCTAAGAGTCGGGGCCTGGGCTCCTGGAGGACCTTGCTCCGCGACCCATGCTTATCTTTGAAATTCCGATGCCCAGGTCGTGTCCACGGACTTTGTGGGCGATACCCACTCGTCCATCTTCGATGCTAAAGCCGGCATCGCGCTCAACGACAACTTCGTGAAGCTCATTTCCTGGTGAGGGAGGAGGGGCCCGGGGGCGTGGGGGGCGGGCCAGGAGCGGTCGGGAGGGACTCCCCTGACCCGCCGCCTCCCTCCCCAGGTACGACAACGAATACGGCTACAGTCACCGGGTGGTGGACCTCCTCCGTTACATGTTCAGCCGCGACAAGTGAAGCAGGACGGCCCCTCCGCTTCCCCGGGCTCCCGGCTGGAACCCGTATCTCCCGTTCCCGCTGTCGCCTCCCCCGGGGAAGGAGGGCGCCCTGCTGGGAAATAAAAACGCAGAATGCTCACAGCCGCGCCCGTGTGTCTGCGCCGGTCACTACGGGGTCACGGCGCGCCCCGCACGGAGACGCGCTCCACCTGCGCCCACCGGCCACCGCGCCTCGCCTCCGAGCGTGGCTCCGCGCCGGCG